TCCAAATCAGTAATAAAGAGTAGATATTTGAAAATGAAATATAAAAAGTATAGTATAAATTAAATTTCTAAAAACTAAAATAATAAAACAAACACTAAAATAATCCTTATAGAGATCTCTATAATTTAAATAAATTTATTTCTCAAAAATATGTATTACGAGCTTCGGGCATCTTAAATCCTTTTAGGACTTTCATATAGATATTATTTTAAGTGAACAAATAAGTTATGATCACATCCATTAAATGCATGTATATGAAGATTTTTGTATATTTTGTCAATCTAACGAGATAACAAAATGAAATTGTATCCATTACGAGAGAATATGTGTCCTCGTAATCAATGTCGAGTCTTTGCGAAAACTCTTGTGTTACAAGTCTTGTTTTCTATCATCCTATCTCATCTTTCTTATTTCATTTTCACAAAAGTACCCATTTGTGTCCCACTGATTTAACATCCAAATGTATTTTGACTATGGGTTCAAAAGCTACTCGTTTTTTAAAAGAATATAATTCTATCTAGATTTTTTTTTCATTTAAGAAAATTATCTCTATCTTGATATTTTTCAATAGATTTAGGTCGGGATCCTTATTTTCATTTAAAATTGAAATATTATCAATAATTTTTTACCTATTATAAAAAATATCTTAGACCATTTTTTATGAATATCTGCTTCTTTGATATTTTTATCTTGATAATTTGCTCTTTTCTTTCGAGAGATTGTTTTCTTTAGAATTGATCGGTCTTTCACGTTTTAGGTATGCTTTAGCTTTATTTTCTATAAACTTAATAGATTTTCCTTTTGAGACATTAATTCTAATAAGAACATTCTCACAAGGACATGCAATTTAGTTACTCTTTTTGAATGCGAGAATGCATATGACGGTTGCTTTACAAAATTTTATAAATGAATTATCGTTTGAAGTTCTAATTCACATTATTTTGTGCAAGAATCAAGATAATGTAATGTAAAAATAGAGTACTCCATGTAATCTCTTTTTCCAACATTTCTAACTACTTATTTTGCTTATTCTCTCCCCTAATGTAGGAAAAATTATTTCATCAAAATGAAAGTCGATAAATCTAGATGTAAAAATAATTCATGTACATGAGTCAAGATATTTAATTATAAAAAAAGGATTCAAATCCAACATATATTTTCAATCTTCTTTTTAAGTGACCATTTTATTTCGTTGTGAAGGATCACTATGAATATATACTACATATCTAAAAATTATTAGATGAGAAATATTTGAGTCATGACCAAAAACCAATTGAAGGAGGAGAATTTTTGATAACTTATGAGTATGATGCAAATAGGTATTATTGCATAGAAGATTGCTTGTCCCTAAACATAAAATAGTGAGGACTTTTGTTTTCATAAGTAATGGTTTAACTATCAATTGGAGCATTTTGATAAATGATTCTGCTAAACCTTTACGATTATGAACGTGAGCAACATGTTGTTCAATCTTTATTCTAATAGCCAATTAATAATAATTTAATACTTGATATATAAATACACCAACATTATCAAGGTGAATTATTTTAATTGCATAATTTAGAAATTATGCTCGTAAACAAATTATTTGAGCTAGCAACCTTAAAAACACCGGATTTTGAGTAGATATCATATATGTGACCATCTTGTGGATGCATCTATTAAAACTATAAAATATCTAAATGATCCACATAATGGATGAACTGGTCCACATATATCACCTAGAATATGTTCTAAAAATACTGGAGATTCAATCTCAATTTTACTTAGTGATGGCTTAATAATCAACATACATAACATGACAATTCATTAAATTAAAAAATCTTTTAGCTCTTTAATAAATGTACATATAAATTTTTAATAATTTTTCACATCATGAAAGACCTAGGATAGCCTAATCGATCATGCTACATAATAAAGGTATTTGTATTAGTAAACTTTTGGTTTACTATAGCACTTGTTTCAACCATTCAATTGTTTGTAATAAAGATCAGAAGAGAAAATAGGCAATTACTCAAATATATATTTTCTATCCAATATAATTATTATAATATATAAGTATTTAATATTCTTAACATTTTTTATCTCGATATGATATCCATTTAGTCAAATATTTTTGAAACTCAACAAATGTTTATGGGACTTTGGAGAGAATAATACATTATTTATAATAAAAAAAAATTTCCCTTTAGGTAATAATATATTTGTCCTTCCAAAGCTATCAAAATTTATCACTTAAAGTAATAATATATTCGCTCTTTTAGAGCCTTCGAAATTTATCTCTTTAAGTAATAATATATTCACTCTTCTAAAACTTTCAAAATTTATTTATTCGGATAATAATATATTCACTCTTCTAGAGCTTTCTATTAGCTTGATAAATAAATACATATATAGCAAAATAAATACATAATCTCTTTATAAACAAAAATAAATAAATAAATAGCAAAATACATTTATATCTATCTCTATGCAATAGAAATTATAAGAAAATATAAAATATCTTATTTATACATAGAAAAGCTAATAAGTTATTAATTTCAATTACTATCATTTTGATATATAAAACTAGCTTTTATATTTTACTCTTTCTTTTCAATGTTGCTTGATAAAGTTCAGCAAGGTGTTTTGGCATACGGAAAATACACGATCAATATCCCTTATATGATGCCAATAATATTCATTTTCAAAATGATGGCTTAATCAATTGTTTTTCATAGTTTGTCCATTTCTAATGGTAAGATGTATTATTGTGATCATCATAGTTTGTCCACATCGCGGAGTAAGGTGTGTTATTATGAACACCATGATTATACGATAATTATTCCAACTACGATAATGATTATGACCATGATCACATTTATTTTCAGAATTATGATAAGTTGTCATATTCATTTTAGAGAATGGAGTAGAACTAGTTGGGCAAAATTCATGATTTTTCATCAATAGATTTTTATTTGTTCGAAACATGAAATCAATTCGAATATTTTTTTCTTCAATATTGCTTTCTGCAAGAACATATTCGAGGCATGAAAAATAGAGAATGTTTTCTTAGCATTAAGCACCCATGATCAATAATTCTTGCCCAGAATATCAAAGGCCACAAAATCAAGATTTGTGAGATTTGATACGATTAATATTCTATAATGTAAGATATAATAATTAATGTTAAGAAATAAAAAAAACATGATAATAAAATTTAAACTTTTTAAAACACATATATTAGATAATTAGATTCTATATATTAAATCATTCAAGCTTTTAAAATGTATACTCTATGTATTATTAGATTTAAAATAATAGATAAATTAGATACATATCTCTTGATGGTCTAGATAATTTAGATCTTTTGGTAGAGCACTTGTGGAAAAGATCCAAATATTGAAATAAATAATTGAGTTTTTCGATAGATACATATCTCATGGTTTATTATCTTGATTGATTAGAGCTTCGTGCTGATAACGTGTTATAAAAGAAGAGGTAACAATAGTAGAATTGAAGAGAAAGATGATAAAAAAATGAATTCACTATAAAATAAAGTGAATACAAAACATAAAAACTTCAAATAATTCTTTCAATCTCTATAAAATACTTGTATACAAAATAATGAACAATCATGCCTATTTGTAGGCTTCAAAATTAGAAAGAGAATTGAAAAAGATTATGAATCATTAAAGGTGCATAAATAATCGAACCATTAAAGGTGCATAAATAATCGAATCAATTGTATCACTCTTTTAATTTCTTATACTAAATTGAGAATTGAATCACATTAAGAATAATGAGCAATAAGAATATGAAATAGACATTCATTATTCCATAACAATCTCTACTTATTTACCATAGCCCAATTAAAAAAGTAAAAATTGAATTAAAAAAGGAAATTTTAGGGTCCAATTAAAACAAATCTCACCTAAAAAAAATTGTATGCAAAAAAAAAAAAAAAAAAAGACAATTAAAGTGTGTGTAATATAACTTTTGATGTTAAATTTAAATTTTTAAAGTTATCAAGATTTTATGGTAAAGCCAATACTAATGGTAAGAACAATGAAAGTAACTTTGGTATAATTTGAGATTATTTATTATTTCTAAAAATATTGAATATTTATATCAACAAAACTATATAACTATATATCATGATTTTAAACAAATATACTCTCCAATATAATTGATTTTAAAGATATTTATTTTTTTATAAGAAAAAAAATAATTCTTAAAAATATTGTTATTAATTAAATATTATTTATGATATAGTAAAAAGTTAGGTAATTTTTCGTTTGGCTTATAAGCAAAGAAATATATATTAAGAATTAGATTAGAAAAGTAAACGATATGTAATTCATTAATTAGTTTATAAAAGCTAAATAAATAGAATCTAAATTATTGCTAAATAGTCTCTTATATATTATTACTTCGGTTTACCCTATATTCAAAGCATATACTATTCGAAGTTTTTTGATTGAGATCTTCTACTTTTTTTTTTTTTTGATTGAAACCCTTTACTCTAAGAGAATTGTTAATTTAGACCTTCTATTATAACAACACTAACTAGCCATCTAACATGACAAGTTAAAATCAAGAACAATTAATTACTATGCAACATATGGTTTAGTAAGTCCCAAATAACGGTTTTCCCATCCAAAATAAAAAAAAAAAAATATTAATAAACTAATACTTAGTATTCAAAACTATTGCGAGAAAGACAATTATGCCTCCCATTGTCCCAAACCCACCCAAAATTGAAATAATCACAAACAGTTGTTCTCACTTCTTTCTCATAAAACTTATCTTACAATATGCAAATAAATGAATATCCTTCAAGCAAGAATTCCTTTAAAGTAAGGAAGCTGGCTTCCGGGGATAATTAACTACTATGGTACAATATTTTGTATTTTTTTTCTACTTTTGAAATTCATTATAAATTTGTTGATTAGAAGGCATAAAAAATCCATCAAAAAACCATCTTCTTCCAATCACCAACACCTCCCATTATCTATCCTTCACCACCGGCCACCACCACCGATCATCACCTCATTCGTCGCCACCTTCCCCACTCCTATAAACATAGTCAAAATCCATCAAAAAACCTCAAACCAAACATTCCAAAACCCATGCAAACAACCTTCTCTATCGGCCACAACTCTTCCACAACCTAGCTATACCTTGCTGATCTCGTCAATCACCTTGTCGATCCACTACAACCGCATCCACCACATCCTCACACCTTAAAGCCATAGCTCCTTCATCGTCAACTATACACCTCACCAAGCCTTTACCACGACCACCCAACCATAACTCCTTCATACCGATTCACTCTTCTAGCCACTCGGCACCAATGATTCACTCTCCTAACCTCTCCGACATTGCCCAACCACCTCTCCGAATGTGAGACCCACCGAACTCCAACCACCACCCATTAAAACACAAACCCTCACCAATAACCGGTAAGACCAATGCCCATCCACCACTAAAACCCTCTTGACATTCCCTCATCGAGATTGAATCAATTTTTGGATGAGGATGAAGGTGATTATATTTACGAAGAAAATCAATATTTGGTTACTAGTTTTATGCTTTTACGGGGTAAGAACGAGAGAATTGGTTTGGAAAAAATGGGAAAAAATGAGATATCCAATTGTAATAGGGTTGGGGCAACTTGGTCTTTTCTAATTATTTTTAAATACTAAATATTAGTTTAATAATAAAATCTTTATAAAACTTTTTCTTAATTTCAAACCTATATTGTTAGAGTTGGAACCCATTATACCACATGTCTATTCATAATTAGTTATTGTTAATTTTAATGTACAACATCGCATGAACGAGTTAACGAGAGGGTTTGAATCAATAAATATATAAGGGCAAAAGGTTTCAATCAAACCAAAATAAATAGAGGGGTTCAATCAATTTTTGAAAGAGGATGGAGGTGATTCTATTTGCAAAGAAAATATATTTTTGGTTACTTGGTTTTATACTTTTACAAGGAGAGAGAGCGAGAGAATTGGTTCGGACAAAATGGAAAAAAAAAAAATGAGATAGGCAATTGTTATGGGGTGGGGGCAATGTGGTCTTCTCCAATTATTTTTAAATACCAAATATTACTTTATAATAAAAATCTTTTTATTTTTTATTTTTTAATTTCGGACCTACACTTGTTAGAGTTAGGACCCATTATGCCATGTGTCTATTTATGATTCGTTACATTAATTTTAATGTACTACATCGAATGAATAGTTAACGGAGGATCCGAATCGATAAAGTTTTAAGAATATAAAGTTTTAATCAAACAAAAACAAACAATATCGAAGAGTGTAGGGTTAGAATGTGGGATAAACCCATTATTACTTCATTTTTTTAGGAAGAAACAATGCAGATCATATACGAAGAACGTGCCACAAAAGCTAGATTAACAAAGTATTACAATTTTTATTTTATTTTTTTATTTTAAATATATTTACGAAGTTATTGTAATTTACTCAAAAATATATTAGCCGTATGTTTCTTTTGATGACTGAATGAATAAAATTAGTTCAAGAGTGCTAGAAAGTTTTTGATTTGAATCCACTAATTAACATGTATTTCAAGCTGTGTATGGACCATTTTGCCTAAACATTGCATTTGTAATAAAGATTGAAGACAGACTGGTGGGGAAGCGAAGTAGGTGCAACTATTGGTTCACTTTTTTTTATTTGTGGATTTAATATTTTATGCACATCAAAATCACAACCAATTTCTACATTTTAATTAAATTCTTTATATATTATGTATTCCTTTGGTAGTTAGCAAGTTACCACCACTCAACTATAACTTCTTTGACATATGAAAAAAGAAAAAAAGAAAAGAAAAGAAAAAAAAATAGAGCACATCTAAAACTGAAATGACTTCTTTGACAGCAACCTTCGGTTACTTGTTAGCTTTATCACCAAGCATTACAGTGAATTACCTTAATATGTTGTCAATTTTGTTCATACATATATATATATATATATATATATATATATATATATATTATTTCTTCACGTGAATTTTGGCTACGACTCTTGCTACTTTCACAAATTGCCGGCGTTCGAACATGAATAAGATTTCAAAGGGCCCTAATTAGCTCTATGTGAATGGCGCCCTGAAAATTAAAGCACATATCAAGTGTTGTGTTTTTTAGTGTGATCTCTCTCTTGATTTTATGAGTAAGAATTTTGGAATTAATATTTAGAGATTTTTTTTTTTTTTGAATGGCCGAGGGGTGAAATTTTTAGAGTATAAGGTATGAAAATATTGTGAGCAAAATAATGGCTTTTAAACAAGAAAGTGAATAAGAAAAAAGCTTAAGGGAGGAATTGCAGGCAATCCTTGCTAGAGATAAAGTGTGGAATGAGTCTTTGTAGAGAAAAATCTCTTAAGTTTAGATGTTACCAATGTTGTGATCAAGTTCTTTAGTTGTGGTAAAATGCTTATGGTTGTTAACTCTACAGCAATTACTTTGGTTCCCAAATTACAAACTCCTAATAAAATTATTGATTTTAGGCCAATCTCATGTTGTACTATTCTTTATAAATGCATCTCAAAATTATTGGCAAATAGTCTGAGAAGATGTCTTCCTTTCCTGATAATGTTCTGCTTGCTCAGGAGATTGTGAGAGGATGTTTGAGAGCCAATATGACTTCTAGCCGCACTCTTAAGATGGATATAATGAAGGTCTTTGATGCTGTAAATTGGGCTTTTTTGTTCAATGTGTTAAAAGCCATGAAAATGTCTACTATGTTTATAAACTGGATTAGAGTTTGTGTCATAACTCCTACCTTTTCTATTTCTATTCATGATAGTTTATATAGACATTTTTAGGAGATCCACTCTCTTTACCTAGTTGTGATAGTAATGGAAGTGTTGACTTATCTGTTAAATAAGGCTGCTGGAAATGGATCCCTGCCTTTTCATCCAAAATGTAGAAAGATTGGCTTGGCTCATTTATATTTTACATATGACTTGATGATTTTGGTCAAAGAGACTGAGAATGCTATAAGGAATGTGTCTACTATCCTAAAGCAATTTTACATTCTTTCCAGTTTAAAGTGTAATCGATCAAAGAGTGAGTTTTACTAAATAGGGGTTGACAGTTCAATCATGAATGCAATACAAACTATAATTAGATTTAAGATTGAGAAATTGCCTGTTAAATATTTAGGGATTCCACTCATTATTAAGAAGCTAAGTTTTGATGATTGCAAACCACTTATGGAGAGGATTTCAGCAAAATACAACACTAGGCAACCAAGAAGTTATAGAAGTTATCTTTTCCTAGTAGATTATAACTAATTTCATTTATAGTCCTTAGCATCTAAAGCTACTGGTGTTCTATCTTTATGCTGCCTGCTATGGTGATCATAGCTTTAGAATAAAAACGTAATATGCATTTTTATGAAAAGAAGAACAGGAACATGCTAATGGTGCAAAGATTGTCTAAAGCATAGTAACTCTACCAAAACTAGAGGGTGGATTAGGTATTAAGAAGATTAAAGAGTGGAACTCTGCATCCATTATCCGATGCATTTGGAGTTTGTTCCTAAAAGCTGGATCATTATAGGTTACTTGGATTGCTAATTATAAACTGAGAGGAAGGAGTTTTTGGTTCCTAAAATATACTTGGATATAGTTTGTGAATTCATCGTATTGTTAGTAATGAGAAAACAATAAAGCTATGGTGGAATCTTTGGCATCCAAATGAGATTCTCATCAAATTCTTTGGCACAAGACTTACGTATGAATCTAGTATTCCAACGAATGCTTTGTTGGAGGTTGTTATGCAGCATGGATATTGAGTTTGGCTTGTTGCTAGATTAAAAGTTATGATAAAAAAGCAATCTACTGTATATGGTGTGCTTATGCTTGATGTCAATTCTAATGACAAAACTGTATGGAAAGACACACCAAATGGTGAATTTACAACTAGAAGCACTTGGGATTTAGTGAGAAACAAAAGTATTACAATGGTATGACATAAACTTGTTTATGGATCGTTTAACATCCCAAAATATAGCTTTATCTCTTAGTTTGGAATTTTGAATTGTTTATTCAATAAAGATAAACATATTCGAATGGGAAAAACATCAATAACGATTGCGTGTTGTGTGAAAATGTTGACAAGGATCAAAATCATTTATTTTTCTTAAAAGTTCATATTCTAAGACTATATGGAATGCTAGTCTTCTTAATGTGGATTCTATAGAGTAATTAGTAGGTGGAGTATAAAGATGTAACTAGATAGATTTGTTAGATTGTTTGAAAATAAATTAGGAGGGTATATAACTTAAAAATAAATAAATAAATAGAATATGTATAGAAGGAAGGATAGTGAAACTTTGCAAGAAAAGAAAATTACAAAGACAATTCTCTTGAGAGGGTGCGCAGCTCACTTTGTTCGGAAGGTTCGCAGTCACTCTCTCTACATTCCTATTGCCATATTATTTTCTCATGATACATCTCACTATGTTTTAGGACAATTTTACAATTTTGATGTTCTTGAATTTTAGGAAAAATTCAAGATCTCGCATTACTATACCATGTTAATATAAAAAATGCATCCTTAAAATTATTAAAAAAAATTAATTTCGATTAATATGAAATATAATCCAAAATTATTTTTTATAGTTGAATAAAAAAAATAAAGTCCTACAGAACATGCAGGTCGAAAGATTTTGCTAATTTAAATACTCCATTTATCTTTCTGTACATGGAAGTCTGTTTTACCAAAGACAAGAAATGCATGGAAGTAAATAGAGTCGAAGATATTATTATTTTGTTAGAAAGGACAGCATTTTGACTTCAAACGAAAGGAGATCAAGGGAATTGGCTTTGACTGCACTCTTGAGTTGTTAATAAACTGAAAATATGTGTAGAGACACATATGATTCATGAAGCTTCTTCTCCTTTTCTTTTAAATTTTAAACTATTCCATGTCTATAACCTAATCAACTGTTATTTTTGCTTCAAAACTCTATATATACTGCTCATAACCTTTGATGAACATACAGAATAAAAACAGCAGTTCAACATGGGTGTCTCTCTTCTTCCATCATCACCAGCATTTTTGGCCCTTTTTCTCGTATCAGTTGTCACTTTGTGTCTCCATCCTGAGCCTACACTTGCCATTACCAGGCAGTACAAGTTTGATGTATGCGTTATGTTCTTCAGCTCTGGCACCTAAAATTGTAAAGCTAATATTGTCACACACGTCAAATTTAAAATTTTATGGAAAAAAATGTTCTTTACTTTGTTTTTGACTCTATTGAAAATTTAGTACATGAAGATGAACTATATTTTTATCAGTCTAGAATCAAATTTTGCAGGTTATGATGCAGAATGTGACTCGCCCTTGCCACACCAAGAGCATGGTAACAGTCAATGGGAAGTTCCCGGGGCCTCGCATTGTAGCTAGGGAGGGTGATCGTCTTCTTATTAAAGTGACTAAACATGTCCAAAACAATATCTCTTATGTTTTCATTGACACAGGCATGGAATTCGACAGCTTCGCAGCGGGTGGGCTGATGGACGAGCATGCATAACTCAGTGCCCTATACAAACTGGACAAAGCTATGTGTACAACTACACTATTGTAGGACAAAGAGGCACTCTTTTCTGGCATGCCCATAAATCATGGTTAAGATCATCTCTCTATGGTCCAATAATCATTCTTCCCAAACTCGGCACTCCTTATCCATTTGCTAAACCTTACAAGGAAGTTCCAACAATCTTCGGTAATAAACTTTAAAAAATTAAGCTAATTTGAAGAGCTTATTGAAATTTACGCCTTTTTTTTTTTTTTTCTTTTTTCTGTTGAGGTTGTCTGTCTGCTAACACAAACAATAATGAAAAATAAACTGCAGGAGAGTGGTTCAATGCAGATCCAGAGGCAATCATTAACCAGGCATTGCAAACTGGTGGAGGTCCAAACGTCTCAGATGCCTACACTATCAATGGACTTCCAGGGCCATTATATAACTGTTCTGCCAAAGGTATAATAGGTTAGCAGAGTAGGCCTTCTACAACAATGCATAGCATTTCTTTCCCTTTTTGTCTCTTATTACCTTGTGTGCATGGTGGCACTTGGCAGATACTTTCAAGCTGAAGGTAAAGCCAGGAAAGACTTACCTTTTTCGCATGATCAATGCTGCCCTCAATGACGAGCTTTTCTTCAGCATAGCAAACCATACTCTCACAGTTGTGGATGTTGATGCAATTTATGTGAAACCATTTGATACCGAGACACTTCTCATTGCCCCTGGACAAACCACAAATGTTCTTCTAAAGACCAAGCCTCACCACCCAAATGCCAATTTTTTCATGTCTGCTAGACCTTACATGACTGGTCAAGGAACTTTTGACAAATCAACTGTTGCTGGCATTTTAGAATATGAAGATTCACACAAAACCATTCAATCGAGCCGCTACATTAAGAAACTTCCGCTCTATAAACCAAATCTGCCACCCAATCAGAAGCTGCTTCCTCCACCAGCTGATCTTACTAAGTGTTGACATTCAAGGCTTCGAGGTGCTTTTTAACTACATTGAGACCAGAAATTGAGGGATCAATTCTTTATTTTTTATTTTTTGGGATGTTCTTTGTGACCAGCCATTTTATTTCTTTTTAACATTTTTTTTCTTTTATGAGCATTAGTCTTCCGAGATAATTTTTATTACCCATGTTGGGGTTGAGAAAGGAAACGAATGTACCATGTTTAGTACTTTGATCAACCTATTAATTATTTAATTTGCAAGGAAGATTTCGCTATTATTTACTTTCTTTTGTCAAGACAGAGCTCATGCATGCAAAGAAGTCCAAATATATATAGCAGTATGTATCCCAAATTGATGATGTATGTTGCAACCAAAATATACATATATATATATGCTGAAAATTAAAGAATTTTTTTTTCAAAAGATCTTTTTACGAGTTTTCATGAGTTTTAGTATTTTTGTAAATCTCAAATGAAAATAACCGAATATAAAAAATGAGTGAAGAGAAAAAAAATCAAGAGAAAAAAATGAGTAAAAAACATAATAAACAAAAGAAAGAGAAAAGGTGTAAAAGCACACGACTTATTATATTCTAACTTAATTAAGTTTAATATAATTTTTTAAGTTTAAACTAATTGAGAAACACTTTTTTGATGCCCGACTTTTGATTTTTTTTCCTGTTTTAGTGCCCAACTTTTGATTTCTAATGATCTGCTATCCAAATTTTGATTTTTTGTTTATTTTGGTGCCCAACTTGACTTGAAGATCAATTTTGTCGACGTGTTTGATGAGTATTACCAAGTGACAATCAAAAAGGGCCACGTGACGATCAACTTCGGACATATTAGCACCTTATGATTTAAGGTGGCTATGGGCACTCAAATAGGAAAAAAAAAACAAAATGTAAAGTTAGGCATTGAAATAGAAAAAAAAAAAATTAAAGGTTGGGTACTTGAATAGAAAAAAAAATCAATGATTAGACATCATAAATACGAGTTTTCTTAAGAAATTTATTTCGGTTTCTACACGCTAAATGTCTATCCCCTTCTTGTATTTTTATATATAATTTTCTTATCATAAATAGATTTCATGCATATCTTGTGCTTCCATATATATATATATATAGATATGGTCTCTCAATTTTTTACTTTTTTTTAGATATTGAAAGTCATATAATTTTAAATTCTACAAACATCGACAATTACATGCATGTATATTTTCTTGTTATTATGCTAATTGCACAAGTAATTTTAACAATGTATTCACTTCTTAGCTTAAATCATACTTTATTTATTACCTCTATCATTATTGTCACCGTTACCAAAAGTATTGCACTTTAAACATCTAAATAAAAAAATTTGATCACTAAACTTATTCATCTCGATTCTATCTATCTCCGCCTATTATAAAAAAAATTAACAAGTTATTGGCCATAAAAAGTTTATGTCATCCATTATATGACGGTAGATCTTCTCCAAAGACATAATAAGCAATTTTTATTTTTTTTGTAAATTTCTTCATTGACCAACAATTTGTTTTGCAAATTGCAATCATAATTTAATCTTATATGTCTTTTATTTTTCTAGATTTATTCTTAATTGAACTTTATATATATTTGAACTAAATGACAAATATTAAATTTGTCTAGACAAGTAAAGGGGTTTAGAATTTTTAAGAAGAATTCTTTTTTAACTCATATAGAGTATTAAAAAGTTATCTTTGATAAAGAAAAAAACGCTATAAGCATGATATGAAAAATATTTATTAGAAATTGTTAGATCGATTTTGCAATTTTGAGACAATAAATTTATGAAAAAAAAAACAAGTTTTTTGATGACTAGCCTTTTTTTGTTTTTCTATTTCAATACCTAATCTTTGAATGTTTTTTATTTGAGTGTCCACAATCACGTTAAAGCACGAGGTGCTTGATGTGTCTAGAGTTGACTACCATATGGCACGTTTTGACTCGTCACGTGACGGCTCTCACCTACCATGTTAGCGAAGTTGAACCTTAAGTGAAGTCAAGTGCCAAAACAAATAAAAAATCAAATTTTGGATAGCAAATCATTAGAAATCAATAATTGAGCACCAAAACAGAAAAAAGAAAATCAAAAGTTGAATACCAAGAAAATCTTTTTCTCCTATACTAATCTAGCTTAGAGATAAAGAAGTCCCCAACCAAACAACTCAACTTCATCAAGATGAAATGAACCTAAACAAAAGGGTGTCTTGGTTCACAACTATAGCTAGGTTTATATATATAAAAATAATCCAAAAAGTCAAGAGGAGGTAAAAAAAAAAAAGAAGTAAAAAATATTAAAGGATAAAAACAAAAATTAGATTTTCTCTTTCCAATTAACTATTTCTCTCTAACTAAATCGTTGAATTTTTAGCTTAAGACGAATAAAATATCAAAGTAGTCCATTACCACTAGACTAAGCTTCCTCTACCTATGGTTTGTGATTATGAACAACAAAAGTACCTCCAAAAATGGAGGAGAAGTCTTGTATTTGGATGAGATTGAAATCTTTACTAGATTTCCAATTTGATTTTAAAGTTGAATCCTCTCTAATCGAAGTTGCAAAGAGACTCTTGAAGGTCTCTTAGATTGATCTTAAGTGATTACAAGCCTTAAAACATACAATTTCCAATTGAGTTTTCTTCGAAGAAGAAGAATTGGCCAAAAGTTACGAGTCATCAATCCTCCCTCTCTAACTAATTGTCTTCAACACAACCTTCTTTAAAGGGTAGATGAGGTCTACAAAAAGCTTACTCGACCATTCATATATAGAGAAGTTGGCAAACACCAATCAAATGATGAATGACGAGTGGACAAAACCTAAGCAAGATGTGTTGAGATGTGATTCGAAGGTTGATTGGGTTTTGGGGTCATGGGTTATTGGTAGTTTCCAAAAATTATAAGTTTGTTTTAGTAAATTATAAAGTGGGCTAGTGGTTGTAATAGACCTTAGTAATTGACAAAGTGGTCTAAAAGCCTTGGTCTATTTTTTTTTATGTAGGCCTATATATATAAAGGCATTTCACGTTATCTTTTATCATGTATTTGTCATCAAGTAAAAGTCTCTCTAAAAGGTTTATTTCTATTATGTTTGTATTGTCTCTTTCTTCAACAAATTTGGTATCGGAGCTGGCTTTAGTATTTTGGGAAAAAGAGTGAAACACTTAGGTTTATTGGGTATTTGAGAGAAACACAAGTGAGAGTATTCTTTTTGAGTTTCAAGAGTGATAATATACGAGAGATCAATGGCAACATCTTTCTTCCTCTCAACCACTCATATCAATTTTCAATGGTGAGAAGTATGAGTGGTGAAGCATCAAGTTGAAGACATTACTCATATCATAGAAGTCTGTGGGACTTGGTGGAGTATAGGTTCGTTGATATATTAGTACCCCAATAGAGAAGAGAAGAAAAGGCTAAAAGAAACCAAGAAGAGGGATGCCAAAGCATTGTTCATTCTCCGAGTAAGCAATCAATGAGACTATTTTATCATAAATTGTAGCGACGAACCACATCAAATCAAGCACGGTTAATTCCACAAAGGAGTTCCAAGGTGGTTCAAAGGTCATAGAGGTGAGATTGTAATCACTAAAACGTGACTTTGAAACTTTAATTATGAAGAATGGTGAATCAATTATTGATTTTCTATTAAAAAAAATGGCAATAGTCGATCAAATACGCTCCTACAATGAGTGAATTTCAAATGAGATGATTGTTGTAAAAGTATTAAGAAGCCTAACTCTAAAATTTGACCATGTGGTAGGTGCTTATAAAATAAGCTAAGGATTTTTTTAGTTCTTTTTATTGATGAATTAATGGGATCTCTTTAAGCTTATGAGTCAATAATCAATAGATTGCTTAAAAATAATGAAAAGAAAGCATTTCAAGTGAAGGAGACAACCACTAAACATGGAGAAAGTGATCGTTCGGTAAGGAGAGGCCGAGGAAGAGGAGGTTCTCACAATCGTGGTCATGGTAACAACAAAGGAAAAGGAAGGAATGAAGGGTAAAGACAGATCCAATGAGTAAAGAAACACGAAGAGTAGCATTTAATGTTATCATTATAAGGGATACGAGCATATAAAAGCTGATTATTGGTATAAAGATCAAGTAATGAATTTTGCAACGAAAAAGAAGAAGAAAACAAGCTTTTTATGGCTTGTATTGATACTAACCATAACCCAAGTGATTTGTGGTTTGTAGATAGTGGTTGTTCAAACCATATGACGAGCACCAAATCTTTATTCCAAGAGTTTGATGAGATGCAAAGGATAAAGGTACGAACTTGGCAACAAAAAGGAGATGTAAGTTGAAGGAAAATACATAGTTGGAGTTAACACTAGCCTTTGCAAAGTAAAAACATTGGACAATGTTCAATTTGTACTTGATCTAGGATACAATTTATTGAGCATTGGATAATTAATGACTAATGAATATTCCATTTTATTTGTTGACAATGCATGTGTCATTAAAAATAAGAAATTAGGCCAAAAGGTTCATATCGGCATGACTTCAAACAAGATATTTCCATTGGATGTTCGTAACATGAAGAATTTTGCTATTGCTTATAAGTGCAACGGATGACTTGGAGCTATAGCATTTGAGGTACGGGCATCTCAATATTAAGGGCTTGAATTTGCTAAGTGATAAAGGTATGGTTCACGGGCTACCAAAAATTGGCTCTATTGATTTTTGTGAATGATGCATTTATGGAAAAAAAACTAGGAAGTCATTTCTTATTGGAAAAACTTGGAGAGCTTCAAAATGTCGAGAATTAATTCATGCTGATTTATATGGGCTTATGCAACCGAGTCTTTGGGTAGGAGTCATTATTTCTTGCTATTTATTGATTATTATAGTCACATGAGTTGGGTTTATTTTTGGAAAGCAAGTAAGAAACTTTTGAGAAGTTCTAGAAATTTAAGGCTATAGTGAAAAAGCAAAGTGGTCGTCATATTAAGGTTCTTTGCACATATAGAGGTGGAGAGTTCGTGTCTAA